AGAGAGAATCTTAAGCAGGTTCCACACTCAGTGCATGACCCTGGGATCAAGACCCGAGCCGAAATCAACCAACTGAGCCACCCAGGCACCTGCTAAACCTAGGTTTTAAAAGCCCTATGTTTAAATAGATAATACAGTTACGTAGTTTTATTTAAACAGCGCAGAGGCACCTGGTTGGCTGGTTAAACATCTGACTCTTGATTTCAGCTCAGGTCATGATTTCACAGTTGTGGGATCAAGCCGCACTTCAGGCTCTGCATGGGCGTTGCCAAGCCTGCTTGGGATTCTCTCTCTCTCTCAAAATAAATAAACGTAAAAAAAAAAAAACTTTAAACAGCACAAAAGAACATGTAGTAAAAAGACTGCCACCCCCAGAAGCAATTGATATAACCAGTGCTTAGATCATTCGTACATGCACAAGTAGACCGTTTTCTCCTTTTTCCCTAAATAAAAGGCCACATGTTCCACCTCTTTTCTGCATTATGCTGTCTTCAGATCATATGTAGAAGATTGTTTTGTACCAACATAAAAAATAGCTTTCACATTCTTCGCTGCACTTAACATGGTGTAGCATTGGACACATAACCTATATCCTCTTACCCAGTCTGATTAGTCTTCCAGTGTTCTAAACCAGCTCTGTCTGATGGGAATATAACGCAGTCTACACAGCGATTTTAAGTTTTCTGGTGGCCGTGTTAAAGTGAACAGAAAAAATATAGCAGTGGGTAAATTTTTTTTAACTGCATTTGTTTGGGTTTTTTTTTCTTTTTTTTTTTTTTTTTTTTACAGACTAAGTAAATCTCTTAAATATCCACTGTTCTGTTATACTTAAAACCCATCCATTTGAACTAGCTGTATTTGAAGCACTCAGTAGCCAGTGTGGTAGTAACTGCCATGTTGGATGAGTACAGTTCTAAGTAGCACCATAGTGAACGATTTTGTAAATTTACAATTTCATGTGTGTGTGCCTTTAGGACATACCTGGAAAGGGAGTTGGCTGTGTTGGGGTAATTCTGTTGGAAGCTAGCATGTTTTGTTTTGTTTTTTTTAACTTGGGATGAGTATTTGTGGTACAGACCCAACACAGTGTCAGCATGGTGGTAGGTGAATATAGCTGTGTCCCCAGATCAGTGCAAGCAAGTGGGAGTGGGGACATGAAGTAAAAGTCCCCTTTCTCATCAGAGGGATTGGGCCAGATGAGAACTGGAACTCATCCCCTTCCTGTCTTCCTTTCCGCAGGCCAAGGCAGCAGTAGCTGCAGGAAACCATCATGCTGACATGGAGATGAAGGATGACCAGAAGAATGATGTGGCAGGGAGCCAGCCTCAGGTGGAGACGGAAGCATAGCCTCTACCCAGCCCTACTCCTGCGGCTGCCTGCCTCCCCTGCTCCCTCCCCTCCTCCACCCTGTTAGTTTTGTAAAAACTGAAGAATTTTGAGTGAATTAGACCTTTATTTTTCTATCTGGTTAGATGGTGGCTTTGGGGGAAGGGGGAAAGGAGTAGGCTGGGGGATCGGTTTAGGTGATGTCACCCCCTCTTCCCTTCCCCCTTCCCCCATTACATGTGAACGAATGTCCATCCACACGCACACTCATCAGAACGTTAATTTATTTTGCTGCTTCTGTTTGCTATGTCCATTTTTCAAATGGTAGAAGGGAGTGAGTGGTAGGGATACTTGCGGGGTCTGATGTGAAACCAGGGTGGAGAGGGAGACTCCTGGGCAGCCATTTTCCTTGTCCTTCCCTCCTCCCGGTCTGTTCCCAAACATGTGGCCTCCATGTGGGTGCTAGGGGCATGGGGAAAACCACTGCTGTGCCCGCTACTGCTCTCTGTTCCCGTCCTCGCCCCAGATGGTATGGCTGAGATGTCTTCTGGTGTCCTGATGACCGCCTCTGCTGCCCCCCCCCCCCCAATGTTTCCCTTTGGATCTGTTTCCCTTCTCAGCCAGGTTGTGTCCCCAACCCCCTCAGCCTTTTCTCTGCACGTTGCTGAAGGTCCAGGCTTGCCTCAAGTTCTGTGCTTGAGCAATAAAGTGGAAACGAAACCTGAGTGTCAGGCAGCCTTTTTCTGTTTGGCCTCAGAGGGTGGGCATGGTGGCTGTGCAAGTGCAACAACGATAGAGGAGCATTCTTTGAGCATGGAGTGGTGCCCGCATACGGGGCCTCCTGGGTGCTGCCCAGACCACTGCCACCACCGCCACCCCACTCCCCACTCCACCCCCCACCCCCACAGCCTGGTGGGTTTTCATAGCTCTGCTTTTGTTCCCTAACACTTAGGAAAATATAAACATGTAAAATACTGGGACCAGTTGTGTGTGTTTTGGTTAGATTTGTCTACTTCTGCCTAAGTGATCTAGCAGAAAGCACAGCTTTCTTGGTTTCTTATCAAGGTAAAATTCCTGTTAGCCATCCCTCCAGTTAGACACCTTTTACACAATTAAGGTGAAGAACAGTAAAGCCAGGGAACATGCGCTCAGGCCCGCTTTCCAGCTTCCTCCTTGACCTTAATAGAAAAAAGCTTATGCTTATGCTTCTAACTATGTGTTGACCTTTGGCTCCTATAGCATTATGGGGCCCTCGGAGAAGCCAGGGGGCACAAATCTGTCATCTCCAGATGATCTTGCTTGTAGGCTAGAGCCTCTGTCTATAGCCTTACCCTCTTCTCTCCAATGTATGCTGGCCTGCACAGTGGTGGAGGTAGTCTGCCTACCTACATGCCTATACAGTTCCTCCCAGAAGAAATTTCTCCATGCTTTTCTATGGAAGATTCATTTCTGTGTGAAGATTTCACCCAAGTCCTACATCATGGTTGGTGCCAGAGCCAGAACTAATATTTGTTTTAGTCTCCTGAGTGCTCTTGCTGAGTTCACACAGTCCTGTGCCTCTGGGTCTTTTTGACATTTCAAGATCTGTCATGCCCCTATAGCCAACAACAGTAGCTAACTCACTAAGTCCCTAGAACATAAGCCTAGCATTAAACCAGGAACCTTGTGTGAATTAACCTTTTTTTCTTTTTTTTGAGAGCAAGCACACGTGTGCTTGCACGAGCGGGGGAGGGGGTGGGGGGGGAATATAGGATCTGAAGTGGGCTATGCACTGACAGAAAGCCCCATGTGGGGTTTAAACCCATAAACCAGGAGATCATGACCTGAGCTGCAGTCAGACACTTGACTGAGCCACCCAAGTGCCCCTCATGTGAATTAACCTTAATCCTTGGCAAAGGAGTTAATGCCCCATTTTACATAAGAGGAAACCAAGGCTCAAGTTAAATAGAAAGGGGTCTGCCTGGAATAGGAGCTCTCTTGAACAAACCCAAACTCTTAAATATGAGGTTTACGTGACCTTGGGCAAGTTGAGATTTCCTTATCTGCAAAAATAGAGGAGTGGATGAAATGCACTCCTGAGGTTCCTAATACCCCTGAATGGTTCTGTGGGATTCCGGGAATTTCAAACAATTGCACTTCTATGGAACTGGACAAGTCTTTTATGTAACATTAAAACTGTCTTGTGAAGATGTTTAAGTGGCCAGAAGTCTTTAGGATTAAAAACAGACCCAGCATGTACTTACACTCTGCTCTGACCCACGTTCAAAGTTCATAACCTAGTCCATTGACCCTCACCAACCTTTAAAATCTTCCCATACGGAGACAATGCTTGAATAAAGGAAAACCAGTAGTGACCAGCACTGCTAGCTGTTCCTGCAGATTTGCAGTCTCTGGAAAATGTGAGATAGGGTTCATCTTGTCCTATTGCTGATCCTAATGTCAAGTTCTATACAGTTTATCTCCTGAGTATTTCCCATCTTCATTCCAGCAGCCCCTCCAACGTCACCAGGCACCTCCAGCCCACTCTCCTGTCCTGCAAAAGGTTCCTCCTGTCTTGCATCCTCTCTTGCCCCAGGTGCACTTGACTCTACACTGCATCCAAATCCTACCTCTCCAACTGCTTAAAATCCTTTCCTATCCCATTTAGTCTGAAGGTTACAAACTTTACTGTAGTCCACAGCCACTGTGGGACCCAGCACAACCTTGCCAACCTTACACCAGCATCAGAGCACTGGACTCCTTCACTCTACACTGGCCACACCACCTGAAGAGTAGAAGGGGGAAATTGTGCATGTCATTTCACTTACAAGAGTGGAATCTCACATCTTAGTCCTGTCTTCCATGTTTCTTCCATTCCCTTTCCAAGCGCAGATCATCTCAGAGCCTTGTAACCATTAAGCTGAAATGAAAGAGGCTAAGGGCAGTGCTGAATAAAGCCAAAGGAAAGATCTACGTAAGAGAACTTGTCCTCTTTCTGGAAATCACTATTGCTGACTTTATGGCTGTAGTTCCCCAGCTGCTTGCCAACCTCAGATAACTTGGATGCACCCACTATCCTCAACTATAAAATCTAAGGCTCATAATAAAACCTTGTTTAGCGTGTAATGACACAACACTAAATACACCAATTTGGGAGGCAAAGTAAGAATGAAAGATTCACAAAGTGGTTCTGAGGAGAGATGATCAAGAAAAAAAACAATGCCAGGGCACCTGGGTGGCTCAGTAAGTTAAGTCTCCGACTCTTGGTTTCTGCTCAAGTCATGATCTCACAGTTTGTGGGATAGAGCCCCCACAGCAGAGTCATGGTCTGCACTGACATCATGGAGCCTGCTTAGGATTCTCTCTCTCCCTCTCTCTCTCTGCCTCTCCCCTGCTTGCTGTCCCTCTCTTTCAAAATAAATAAACATTAAAAATAATAATAGTAGGGGCGGGTGGCTACTGGGTGGCTCAGTCAGTTAAGTGTCCAACTTTGGCTCAGGTCATGATCTCACAGTTCATGAGTTCGAGCCCCACATCAGGCTCTGTGTTGACAGCTCAGAGCCTGGAGCCTGCTTTGGATTCTGTGTCTCCCTCTCTGCCCCTCCCCTGCTCATGCTCTGTCCCTCTCTCAAAAATAAATAAACATAAAATAATAATAATATTAATAACGCCTTCATGAACTTTCAGACTTCTTTGGCTAGAAGAGAAGACTGGCCATACCCCATCCCCCTCCCCCAAGACATGTGGGCTCCAGGATCACCGTCTCCTGTGCCCCTGTTAGGAGTGCTTCACACATAAAATTGTTTGTATATATACATATTTTTTTTCTTAATTGAAGTGGAACTCACATAATATAAAATTAACCATTTTAATGTGAACAATTCAGTGGTATTTAGTCTAATTACAATGTTGTACAACTGCCACTTCTGTTTAGTTCTAAAACATTTTCATCATCCTTTGTGTTTGAAGCCCATGTCCTCATGTTTTGACTTCAGAGACCATGAAGGACCACTCTTCATCCTTAAGTGAATGGCCAGAAGAGTCTTTTAACAGGCAACAACCCTGGGGTGCCTGGCTGGCTCAGTTGGTAGAGCATGTGACTCTTGATCTCAGGGTTGTGACTGTGAGCCCCATGTTGGGTGTTGAGATTACTTAAAACATCAAAAAACAAAACAAAACAAAAACCAGACAACAACGCAGACAGGCTCTAGGATCAAAGCTTCCCAGAGTGGGTGGTCCCTTCTAATGGGCCAAACTTGTGAGGGAGGGGGTGGGACTCAAAAGGAGAGCAGCAAATAACAGCATTTCACTCAGAGCAGGGCTGCCCACACTGTTAATTCTACCTAATTTCTGGGTCAAGTCAGTCTGAGAAACAGGTTTCTGTCTTTGAGGACTTCTCAGAACCTTTAGTATGCTAAGGTGCACTGTAGATCACGAAGGAGAATGAGGAAGTCTCAAACTGAGCCCATTAGGAAGCCCTAGGCCCTGCCCCCCCAGGATGGTGAGTGACTCTGGACCTCACATATAGAAAGCTGTGTAGAAAGTTTTAAAGGTCCTATTTCTTACCTGGCCTTCCTAAGCAGACAGAACTTGGACCCCTCTACTGGGGTCTACTCCTGGAGGAAGAAGTGGACAAAGAATCTCCCTAGAAATCCTTCCCACCTAACACCTCCCCGCCACTCCCCACTCCCATAGCAGGTTTCTACTGAAGCTACCATTTGGCTGGTTGGTAAAGACATGCCACTACCCACACAACTGTACCATGTCATCTAACCAGGAAGATGGCCTGGTTAGGCAGTTCTGGGGAGTAAGCCAAAACTGATACTGGAAGAGTGCTTGACTTTAAAAAGGCGAGCTCTAGATGGTGCCGGTGGAGACCCACCAACCATCCCCCTAGAAAGGGTCAAGAACATGGATGCTCCTTGTGGAACCAGGGCTCTGTCCACATGGCTGTGCAACCCCTGTGTTCCACTTACTGTGAATATAACACAAGGCAGTTACAGTAATTGACACACAGTGGGGAGAGGGACTTGGTCCATGTCATATTTCCTGAAGACTTATCTTTCCTCCCTTTCTAAATTCATTTGGTTCTCTTGACAAAAGCTAAAAGGCATGGTATCCAAGTTGCCATGTAACATAATACCATAATGACATGACCTACAGGACAAACATTAGCAGGCGCCCCTTGGCACAGAAAGGTCAAGAACAAGAAACTCAAGTAATGGAGAAGATAAAACTGAGGCACTGCAAAGTGCTGGGTCAGGGTATAATTTCAGAGAACTGGGTCAGGCCAAGGCACTTGGTGGCAGAAGCAGTTTTGTCCTGGGTTATTTATGAATTTATTTATTTATTTTACAATTTCATTCAAAAGGCTGGAAGAAGAGAAAACAATGAAGAAATAACAGTAAGAAGAAACAGAACCCAAAACATTTTAACTTTACATTGAGAGGTAAACATTTTTAAATTGGCTTTTTATTTTCCTACCCCTTAAAACCAACAATGAAGCTTAAGGTTTCAGCTACAATGGGAGAAGGATAGAGACATGGTAGCCGGAGGTTGCATGCAGCCCCTCCGTAATTAGATAATATATTTAAAGCATTAGGTACACCTGTGTGACACAGTACCTTTGAATAGACCCGGCCAACCACACAGTATATGTATCACCAAAAACAGAAACATGAATGTATCTGCAGTCCCCAGCGTTTGTCTAGACTGCCTCCTGTTTACCGTTTTGTTTGCTCTTCCTTGTTTTCATCTTACCTGGCTGTCAGATCCATTGGGACCTCTGGGACAAAATGTCATCCCCCTCTCACACTCCCAGGCAAAAATGTCCTGCTTTTCAGTGCCTTCTCCCATCATGCTCAGATATAGAAAGCGGGACCAGCCCCTGGTCCAACATCCCCAGGTGAGGTAGATATTATTTTTACAATGTTGGCTCCTGAAAAACCAGTGCATAATTGGCCTAGAGCTGCAGATCTGAACTTTAAAGTGTATTGAACAACTACAGAATTTTGCAAATAATACTTCTGATGCCCTGATTGATGAGGCACCCCAAAGAAAGACTTACTTAATCTTGCTGAACCTGTTTTTCTCATCCAAAAATACTGAATAATAATACAAGCTCTCAGGGTTGTTGTGCTCATTACGTGAAACAATATACATGAAATGTGCTTTACAGCAAGTGTAACTAAGGACCTTTCTAACTAAGGACCACAAAAGCATACACACACCATTTAAAAAGTCATTTTCACGTGATAAGCCAGTATATAAAATATACATATATAACTATTTACAATTGAAACAAAGGTTTCACAAAAAGAATACTTACTACTCTAGAGTCACTTGGTATTTTCTATTCTATTGTTTTTTTTAAATGCTGGTTCAATTCACTACATTGTTTGCAGGGCTCCTAACAGGTAACTTATAGTTGTTTCAAAAAAAAAAAAAAAACACAAAAACACTGTTGGAAACCATACAGTTGTCAATTATTACGATTATTATGATTCCCTGGTTTAGTCTAATGGCCTGGAGACTTCAATGCTAGGGCAACAAAGGAAGAGGTCAAGGTTATTAGGTCTAACCCCGGACAGCCTGTTGCCTGGGGAACAGATCGCCCCCCCACCCCCAATCAAGATTGGTCTACCCAGGCTAGGAGTGGCCCATGCCCCTGTCACTCACATCAGATAAGCCCGCCCCCAAGTTCAGAGGGCTAGGAAGACCCACCTCCTCTTTCAGGTTAAGCGAGAAAGGCCGCAATTGGAGGCTTGAGCGGTGACGTGACTTTCCGCTTTGGCTGGCCTTCCGCTTGGGCTGCTCTCAGGAGGGGCTCGGGGAACATTTAGCGGGCCTCCCAGGTCCCTCGGCCCGTGCAAGTGCGATGAGGTCGGTTAGCTACGTGCAACGCGTGGCCCTGGAATTTAGCGGGAGCCTCTTCCCGCACGCGATCTGCCTCGGAGACGTGGATAACGATACGGTCAGTGCATGCGCACTGCGAGAGACGCGACCTGGCTCTGCGCCAGGGTAGGGCGGGGCCGGGGAAATGGAGTAGCCGCCCTAGGCGTGCGGGGGGAGCGGAGCGCGTGCGCGGTGGGGCTGCGCGGTGACCTAAGGAGAACTTGGCAGATAGCTTACGTGCCTGGAAGTCAGGTCCGAATTGCACTGCTTCCCTGCCCTGGTGTTCTTTTAGGGACATAGATAACTGATCCTTTGCCTAAGTCAGTAACTGGTTCACAGTAGGAGCCTGGTAAACCGGTGGCCAGATATCCCGGCTCACTGCTTCCCTCCTTACGCAGGGGCATCACCTCAAATCACTTTGCCTTTCGAAGCCTCCATAGAAGCTTAAAACGCGCCTTTGCTGCTCTTACACGTGGCTCCTTGCGCCGGAACACACTGCTGTACTTTTCTGCCTCTCCACCCCACCACCCCATTCCTAATGCCGAGTTTCTGTAATGCCTGGTTTCTGTAATGCCTGCTGCATAGTACACCAAGCGTATGGCAACTTGAAAGCGCTACACCTTGGTTGGATTACAAAAACAATTGACATCTACCATCTCCGCAGCTGTTCTTTTTCTCGTTGTTGAAATGCATTAATACAGATAAAGCAGGTAGAACTATGCCTAGCCCACAGTTAACACCAAGTGTTAGTGTTGTTAGTATTTGATTCTGTTTCTGCAAATGTTTATTCAAGTGCCCATTGTGTGCGCCAAGGACTCTGCTATATTCTGGGAATTCCAAAATGAACAAGACAGTCCCAGCCCTCAGCTAGCTCACAGTCAGGTAGGGTGATAGTCACCAGAACAACGAAATGGAAGGAGGTGCACTGATGAAAATATGTAGAGTTTTGAGGTGGAGCATCAGAGGGGATGGGGGCTGTTGCTGGTGTGAGACACTCTTAACAGACTCTTTTCATTCATTATTCCCTATTTTTAATGCAAAGCACCTTATTGCCATCCTCTCCTACCCTCTGCCCCACCTTCCTATTCTGCTGGCTTCTCATCCTCACGTCCCTAACTGTTCTGTGCTCTCTTCCCTGGGGGAAAAAAGGGCTAAAACATACCCCTGCCCCCAGCCTCCTTTGTGCTGTGATAGAGAAGATATTTTATGAAGCCTCTTTTGGCTCTACTCCCTGTAGGGAGGAAGGAGTTATTCTCATAAATTTGTATTGTTTTTTTGGACTTTCACATTTCGTAATATGCCAAGCAGTACAATTTTATGAGAAAATCAAGAGAGGCATTTTCAAATAGTAAATTAACAGAGTGACTTTAGGCGTACATGATTTTCCGTGTTATCTGATGGTCTTCTTTGTTTAAAAGGGAAAAATACCTGCCTTTTTTCATAGCTTCATGGCATCAGCTTTTTTGGAAATTGTACTTTTCTGGGTATATTGCACCAATACACTCAGTTCTACAATATTAGATATATTGTACTACTTTTTTTTTTTAACCCTGAGTTGTAAGCCCCATAAGGCTGGGGATTTATCTGCTTTTTCACTGCTATATTCCCAACACTTAGAATTGTGCCTGGCACATAGTAGGTACTCAGATGTTTGTTGAGTAAATGAGGATTGTTATGGAAAGCAAATGTGATTATTTGTCTCAAAGCAATTTGAAGTGCTTTGCATGTTATTGATAAATATAATTGAAAGAAGGGCAAGTAGTTGAGATCGTTGCCTAGTGGTACATGTATGTATGCACGTGGTACATTCAGCCTGCATGAGTGTGGATAGAAACGCTGTTATTCAGCATTTGGGGCAGGAAAAAGACTTATTTCATCCTCATAAATCATTAGCCTAAAGTTCTTTGAAACTAATTTGTTTCCTGGTAAGTTGTGGGGGAGGGGAAGCCAGGAATAGAATGCACACCCTGTAGGTCTGCCCATGGAAGCCTGGCTACACCAGGGGAAAATCTCTAGAAGGCTATAGCAGACCAGAGATCTCTCCTCCTGCCTCCTTTAGTATTATATGGCGACTGTACCCTCTAGCTGGGGTTTCTTAGCGTCCGTGAGTGACCTCCAGAGGCCAGAGCCAGGATCAGCCGCAGGGAAGCAGAACTGCTGGGAAGCATTATAGCTGCCGGGAAGCAGATGGGCTAGTTTGGAAATGTCCTCTTCCAGGAGGCCAGCCATTGCCTCAGTGTCATTGCTTGGTCTTGCTTGTCATTGCCTGGCTGGGCCACATCTACTTGGTCACTGCTCTTACCATACCCATGTCTGTGCCCTTGTTAAAACTGTAAGGTCCCCCTCAGTAGGGAGTCTGTGGCATTTATCTTTGTACCCCTAACTCACTATCTACCTTTACCTGGAAACTCAAGGGCTGACTGAGCATTCCGTTTCATTCTGATTTTTCTCTGTTTCTTAAAATCTTTTTTGTTAATTGTCTAGTAATTAAACATTTATCAGGGCACCTGGGTGGCTCAGTCAGTTGAGTGTCCAACTCTTGATTTCGGCTCAGGTCATGATCCCAGGGTCATGGGGTCAAGCCCTGTGCTGGGCTCCTCACTGAGCATGGAGCCTGCTCGGGATTCTCTCGCCCTCTGTCTCTCTGTCTCTGTCTCTCTGTGCCCCGCTCCCCCACTCGCACTCTCTCTCTCTCTCAGATTAAATTAAATTTGGGGCACCTGGATGGCTCAGTCAGATAAGTGTCTGATTTTAGCCCAGGTCATGAACTCATGCTTCATGAGTTCGAGCCCCATATTGGGCTCTTTGTGCTCAGCACAGAGCTCACTTCAGGTCCTCCGTCCTACTCTCTCTACCCCTCCCCTACATACGCTCTCTCTCAAAAATGAAAAAACAATTTTTTTTAAATCAAATTTAATTTAAAAGAAAAGCAAACATTTACTGAGGTGCTGGTATGGACTATGGCATTTGCTGAATGGATGTATAAAAAAAGAATAGATTGTGTGAAAGATACCAGGGTCCCTAGCCATGGAGGCCTTTTAACTAGAGGCTGAAAACCACCTGGTATTAGTGCTTGCTGTATGCCAGTCACTGGTTTGTTTGTTTGTTTGTTTGTTTGTTTGTTTTTTATTGTTTCTTCACTTTTGAGAGAGAGTGGGAGTGGGGCAGGGGCAGAGAGAGAGGGAGACACCGAATCTGAAACAGGCTCCAGGCTCTAAGCCATCAGCACAGTGCCCATGAACTGTGAGATCATGACCTGAACCAAAGTCGGACACTTAACTGACTGAGCCACCCAGGTGCCCCTGCCAGTCACTGTTTTAAAGG